GTGTGTCTGTGCGTGTTTGTGTGTGTTTGTGTGTGTGTGTGTGTTTGTGTGTGTCTCTGTGTGTCTCTGTGTGTCTCTGTGTGTCTTTGTATGTCGCTGTGTGTCTCTGTGTGTCTCTGTGTGTCTCTGTGTGTCTGTGTGTGTCTCTGTGTGTCTCTGTGTGTCTCTGTGTGTCTTTTTGTGTCTCTGTGCGGCTCTTTGTGTCTCTGTGTGTCTCTGTGTGTCTCTGTGTGTTTTTTGTGTGTCTCTGTGTGTGTGTCTCTGTGTGTGTCTCTGTGTGTGTGGGCTTGTGTGTGTGTGTTTGTGTTTGTGGGTGTGCGTGTGTCTGAGAGCGAGAGAGGAAGAGAGAGAGAGAGAGAGAGAGAGAGAGAGAGAGAGAGAGAGAGAGAGAGATACAGAGGCAGTAAGCACCTGCGGGCATGTTTGGGGTTGGGCGTGCAGATATCCGGGTATGGAAGCAGGCTGCTGTGTAGAGATATGAACGGAGGCGACTCGACATCCAAAACAAAGCCATAATCCAGAATTGTTTTCACGGTTGGCCAACGCTTCAGCCTGAGCATGTTACTTTCGTCCAGACATGATAAGACACTTTGCTCCGCCTTCGCATCAACCCTCCTCTATGCGCGTGTGATACGTGAGCCATTTGCATACCCATCGCAAGCACCAGCGGTTGACACACGCACGGAAAGACGGAAAGAGCGCTTTGAAGATGTGAGCAGGATTCACCTTCCCGGCCTCTCACATTCATGAAAGGATGGAAGGGGGTGAAGTCCAGACTCCCTTAGGCCCTTTCTGACAGGTGAACTTGGAGAGGAGGATGACTCAGAAACCAGACGGTTTCCAGGTATGTGGCTGGGGGTCAAACCAATAGTACTATTTTGGGGTGGGTGCACCACTCATTTTAGTCTATTTTAGTGGGGATTGGGATGTTCACTGGGTACGGGTTTTCCTGACCCATGGCCATGTCGCAGAACGTGCATGACTCGCTTGCGCCTCAAACCCACGCGCGAGCCGAGGAAAACATGGCGCTTTGCGTGGTCCTGGGTGGAGGGGCGCCTTAGCTGTCTGTCAGGTTTCCTCAAAAAGTTCTAGGTCCCCCAGTAGTGCCCTTTCTCACCAACTTTTGCTGGTTGGGAGGGTTCCCCTACTAAAATAGACTACAGAAAAAAGGGTACCCAAATTCTAACCTCTCTACTGGAGGACCTAGTCAAAAAGGTCAGTTTACTGTACCCGGGATCCCGCCGTTTTGAAGCACCAAGCTTGCTTGAAGATAGACCATTTCCACTGGTTTAGCAAACAAAGTTGCTTGACGTGTTTTTTCAATTTCCGCTGTTTCGGTTTGACCTCATCATTTGCCAGTGCCACTTTCTTCTTGCAAAAGGACATCCACATGAAGCGAACTTTTCCATCCAAGTGGGGTCCCCGCTTGATCAACCGGAAAGTTACTTGTAGACTCATGTGGTGTACGTTGATTGCATATTGTTTGGGCGCTCCACATGGAGTTCTTTTGTTTCAGCCGCCAGACTTTTCGCTTCACCGGTTCTCCTTGGTGGCCTTTCATGTTTCATTTACACCACCAACACTTGTTGTTGGATTGGATCCATTCGTCCCACGTTTCGTGCCAGAATGCCGGCCAGCGATTTTGGAGGCTATGGTTTTTCGCGCAGAAGGAAATCCGAAGCATGGGCGTCCTCCACAAAAGACGTAGACACCTCGGCGCTGGGCCAGAAAGGCCGGATTCAGTGACTTGAGCAAGTTGGCAGGCGCCGGTGTCATTCTGCGGAGCAGGGCAATGATTCATGACGTCGTTCTGCTTGATTTGTGTTTGTGGCAAAAATAAGCGGAATTCCACGATTTTGACGTGAAACAGGCCAGGGCGTGTTTCCATCGGTCGCTATTCTTGCGATGCAACCGCAGAGGGTCTTACAGCGCTCCGAGGTGAGCGGCCTGAGCTCGGCGGTGAGCTTATTGGAGGCCGGAGGGTAGGTATGAAACAAGCTAGGCTTCCCGAGTTCCCCGGAAACCCCGGTGTAATGCAAGATGGCTCGTGGTTGGAACATGTATTCTGCGTGATGTGTTTGTGGAAGTTGTTGGCTCGATTTCCGAGTTTGCCTGTCAAGCATCGCATTTGGATCCACACCATGATCGCAGAGATGCTTCACGACCTGAGAATGCTTGCTGCGTCAAGCGGCAAGCCTTATTTGACGTGCCTGATGTGTGCAAACGTCGAATGCTTGGGCTGAGTAGCAAGTTTGGTCATGGACCTCTCAATCAGGACTGTTAACAAGAATTGTAGGGGGTTTTATTGAGGATGCCATGGCGTTGCAGGTCGCATCACTACAGTTATGCGGTTCTATCACGCGCTGAATACCTGCTATAGACACGCTTGATATTCTGCTTCACGTGTCGCAGATGGGTGCTCCTTGTTTGTACATGTACAATATATATATATATATTATGCATACACCATGTCTCACGCGCTGGCCCACGTGCCCTGATCTGCCTAAAAGAGACTGACGATCATGACACGTATCAGGAGTTTGGAGCATCAATGATAATTTTTACATGGTGACGATGCTTCGCTGGTTGTGAAGCAACCCAGAATCATTGGTCTCCAACTTCCTGGTATCCGCCATGTGAGGTGAGGTTCCACAACTCCGGCCTGGGGCAAATCGGATCTTCGTGCTCGTGATACACCTGACTTGCCCCATGCTCTGAGACCCTCATGTGCTGTAGCTGAAAGAGGAACGACCCCGATTTTGGAGTCCACCAAACTGGGCCTATTTGGACTCTTCTCAGGGGTTTTAAAGGTCAGAAACATACTGTATTTGTGTTGTTCGCCTTCACCACTTCAAGGGTGACTTTGATGGCAAAATCATGAGGCCAGCCAAAACACCCCATTCCACCTTCATTCGCTGTAGCTGAATCACTTGGACCCCACTTTTTGAAGTCCAAAACGAGATCGCGCCGAAACGCGGGGCTGAACTCGAGATCTCCAGATTCAGATGTCGAGGCGGGGTGGCGCGTGCGGGTCTTTGCGGAGACGGCGCAAAGCAGCGCGGATCTTCCAGCCGAGTTGGTGTCCGCAGGCGAAGTCTGAAGACCACATGTAAATACATGGTTATAATATATATATATATATGTACATATGGGGTTGATCAAATATATATATATATATATATATATATATATATATGGTCCAGTGTCTATGGTCCCCGGTTCCCCCCCCCCCCAATGGATCTACCTCTGTGCTTCTTTTGAGGTGCTATTGATATATATATATATAGAGCCCTTTGTTCCACCTTTTTTTGGAAGGTTCCCCTTTAAAGTCAACCAATCAAAAAACGCATGCCCTTTTTGTCCCATGGCCACTGGGCATTTGAACATATATCTGTATACATATATATTTATATAGACATATGGTTGTTGATCAAAAGGTCCTTCACATGGGATGACCAGGGGCAAACACCACTACAGAGATGAAGCTTCGCACTAAATGGTAAAAGATACCCATGGTCATTCGGGGGGCTAGGAATATTGATCAACCCATATATACATATATATATATATATATGGATGTGAGGTCGTTTGAGGCTCGCTACCCTTGTGAGCTTCGGGGGTCGCAATTCGGATACTACGTCCTCTCGAAAGTGTAACTGCTTGTTTGTTTCTGGGTGCTGGCCACTCATTTCGTAAATTCCAAAGGAAACCCAAAGTGCTTCGCAGACTGTGTGTTACTTGCACCCAGCTAGTCAGTGCACTCTCACGCCTTTTGGCAAACTCCCGGTTGGGTGCGTGGTTTTTGAGGATCTCCTTTTCCCGTTTCCCAGCCAACCTCTTTAGAGCCACATGAGGGAAGCCTTGTCCTGAGCCGGGGCTAGTAAAAAGCCGGGCTAGTAGGAAAAAACACCTCATTCCCTTTTCCCCTTGCTTTACAGGGAAGGAACACCACAATTTGGGCAGGGCTCCTTAAAAGATACATTTTGCCCAAAACATGGCTTTTTCCACCAAAATCAAAGGAAACCTCCGTTTACAAGGCCATGTTCAGGTGTATAATGTAAGGATCCCTGTTGGGGTTGGTATACTCCATTATGGCACATACCCTAATGGCACGATGACTTCTATGTCAGGAATCGCGAGGCTACACTTTCTTTTTATTAAGGCTGTTGCGGCTTTGGGGCCGCCATCCCCCCCCAACAAGAAAACGTCGCTCACTTAGTTGCACTGAGCGAGTCTGCAAAGCAAGACATGCTGCGCCTCTTCCCATGTTGGCCGAGAGAATGATTTCAGGGAGAGGGCACATGAGTCACAATCAAAACCTGGTCACTGCAAGGGTGAACCCAGAACCATGCTTCAAGAAGCAGAAAGGCGGATATCCGCAACTATTTCCGGCTGGCACGGCCCCTCACCGAGTCATCTACCCGAATCGGTTTTGAGCAAGTGGCTCAGCCAGGCGCTGGCGGCATCTGGGAGTTTCCCCCCTACCAGGTGGAGCCGGCTGTGGCTCGCTGAAATTGCGAGGCCTCGGGACCCCGTGGGCCAAGAATGGCGCAGGAAATTCGATTTGGCCCCAAGAAGCTTGCAGGCCTGGGCCAAGGGCTAGGTGGGGATGAGACCAAAAAGGATACTCCCGCGGTTTCTTGTTTGGACGGTTGGTTTCCAGGTCCCCCCCCCAGCTAGGTGACCTTTTTGCCTCCCCTCTTTTGGTTGGGAGGGTTCCCCTAAAATAGACTAGAGAAGAAATTGGTACCCTTATCTAAGCTCTCAAATCTGGAGGACCCACAATTCGATTTGTCCTGATACCAAGAGGAGTTCCTTTTTGAGAAAGTGGCCTCTACCGCTTTGGTATCCCAAAAATCAGAATCCACAGCTCGGTATTGTCAATTTGGCGGGCTCTGTTTGAAAACAAGTGCAGGGTGTCCTTTCTAGGCCACTGGAGGCCTAGCTGGGCATTTCTATCAAGCTTGCCGGTGTCGGAAGTTAAAAGGAGCAAACCAAAAATGGTCGCACGGAGCTGCTTACAATACCGTTTTTGCAGCCACAGGTAGTTGCCCCCACCATATTGAGTGGTTTTGGAGCAGCGTGTAGGCAGAATTTGTTTGAGAGAGGCTGTCATATCACATACTCTCGACTTTCCATGGAACCCCCAAAAACTGACCCAAGCCCTGTTTCTCCACCGCTGTTTGCCCAAAACGGACGGGAGGTCAAAAGAAGTGGGGGGGACGCGCGTCCCCTCATGCCCCTGTCAGGCTCCTAAAAGGAAGCCAAACCGCGATAGGTATCTTTTTCCAGCCCCATGCGTTGGACCCCCCTTTGCCCAAAAAGCCGGTCGGGCTCAAAACCACGCTGAAAGTGCCCTCCTCAGAATTACTCAGACCTTTCTGGTGATTCAACGAATCCCCCTCACACACACACACACAAATATGGGTTATTCACTTTCTGGTGACTGTGGGTTTTCCCTCGAACATGAACACATTATACGTCTTCTTCACCACGACCAGGGCCCCCCTTGGTCCACAAAACCCGAGCGCCACGCGTGCGGAGCCGTTGGCCGAGGCGAAAGCGCGGGCCTGGGCCTTGCGGACGCTGCCGCGCCTGCAGCGCCTGGCGAAGCGGAAGGCGACAAATCTCGGGACGACGTTTTTTTCCGCCGCGGGGCGGCACGGGAAAAAAAAAACCTGGTGGTGTTGTTGCTGACTGCGTCTTTGAGATTCAAGCCTGTTGGTTTTTGATGGAATCGATTTCACTACTGGAAGTGTCTTCTCGTTTTTGTTCAGGGGACCAAAAAGTAAATGGAGGAGGAGGCGTTCGGACCAGCGGGATCTTTCAAACGATGTCAAGCATTTTAGGATTGGCCAAAAACATTTGGAGCAGCATCTAAATGAACGATGTGCCTCTGATTTGGGCCAAGTTTGGGGTATGTGTCATGATAGGGGGTCCTAAGAAACAACCTGTGTGTTTTTCAATGGCAGAATTACACACTTCCAAACATAAGATACACATTGGAGAAAATCCTTAGGGCCACGGTCATTTTCCAGTGGTAGCTTCACCATAGTCTGAGTCTGAGATCACTTTTCCCGGGTTGAAGAATGTCCCAGAATGCCCCATACCCATGGGCCTACTCACATGCACGAAATGAAGTTCCACATTTAGCAGCTGCATGCCATGACTACATTGGAAACGGTCTTCGGCCAGAAGCTTCTGTGTGTGGGTTTTCTCTTAGGGATGGTCCCAACCCAATTGGTAGCCTTGAAGTTTGGATCTGATTGGTATTGCAAGAGACTTCCACAGCCTGAAATAAGGAATCTTTGGGTAAATGACCTAGGGCTCTTTTCATCGCCCAGCTTACCTTGGACTTTTGATGCCAGGAGACAGGGATCACCGAACGCCGCATCTACATGATGTATCGCAAGCCTGGGAGTTCTTATGACGAGCTTGCAGGCAGGCATTGAATGCGGCCGCACATAGGGGATGAGAAGAAAAAGTCAAGGGCTTGAGTCCTTTTCCATTCTTTCCCGCCATCGTTCTTTCCAACAACCGGCCGTTCTCCCGGGGCTTCCGGAGGCTTTCTAGAAAGGATCTCTGGGTTCAGAATGGAAATGGAAGGTACCTCTAGGAAAAGGAGTATCATAGGCCTTTTTTTGGACGGTTGGTTTGAAAAGGAGAACACAAGGACACCACCCATGTTGTGGGGGAGGCTCCCATTTTGGAGATTTGTGTGCCCAGTTTGCAGTCGAGGTGATTGCATGAAAGTCAACATGAGACCCAGCGAACCCAAGAGGAGTCTCCTTTGGAGAGACCAGACCCGCCTTTTGGAGTTCCACTCTGGTCAGGACGTATCCTTGACACTCTCATGTTTCCCCTCATGGCTAAATCCAACTTAAGGAGAAATATGGGGACCCGTTGGCGTAAAGCTACCAAACACGGGAGGCAGACTCTGCAAATTCAGCTGACTCCATGAAAGACATCCCTTCCCCCAAGAACTGCCTTCAACGTCCATTTCCCCTTCTTCAGACCTGCGATCGTAACTTGATGAACTTCTGGGGATCTCCAGTCAAGCTGCCGTTCTCCTTCGGCGAATCCGTTCTCCGGACCTAGAGTCTCCATGACCCCTATTAATTTTGGGTAACAACCCCATTTTCAAAGGGTCGTGGAGACTCCAGGTAGTTGTATAAGTATATATATATATATGTAAATATGTGTATCCCCTAAAAGTATCTTTTTAGGGTAACACCTACAGGGTCTGACATGCGTATCAGTTTTAGCTCCCATCAGTCTCTAGTATATACCGTTGCCTGCAGCAGAACCCCCCCCCCCGGAACCCTAGGGGCATCAAAACAGCTTGACAGGCGGCCCAAGAAAAAACACCGAAGCAGCCGCCCACTTTCGTTTTCGCGCGAGCGTGCCGAGGGCTTCCAGGCTTTCGGCGGGAGGCGACGGTGGCGCAGGTGTCGCAGGCCTTCCGCGGCGGCGCGTCGTACCTGGCGCCCCAGGCGGATGGATCCGGGCGACCCTTCGATCCGAGGGTGACTTATAGCGACCGAATTCACCCCAAGTGGTGGCTTATGTGGGGAATAGCCCCCGATTCAACCACCGCAAGTATCAGGCTGGTGAAATAATTATGATTCACCCAGATCCGACGGAGCCATCCGAAGCAAAGGGACCGACCCATTTTGGGTGGGGGAAAAAGGTTCATTCCCATATTCCCCACTCACTTCCAGTCTAGACTTTGTACCACACAGGCACGCCAGCGTCATTTCCAGTCCAACTCCAGTTCCATGCTCCACTGCCGGGGCCCCCGCCCCACAAACGGATCCTGTGCCGATGGTAGACTTTTGGTTGACCAAGGATCATTCCCAAATTCCCGCCTAAGAACAAGCAAGTATTTTTTGACTAGCCTCCGAATAAGCACTTCTTGTTTTTGCTCAGGGGGTCCGCTGGCACAAAGGGTACCTACCTTATGGGAATACCAGTGTTAGACCCCAAACAACTGCGCCCTTGTTGGCCAAGTGCGAGACACGGCACTTAGGTCTTCTCTTGGCCTAGGTGTTCTCGTCGCCCTTGATGCCTAGGTGTCCTCTTGGCCACACCCTCTTTGTTTTGCTCAGGGAGAAGCACATGTCCAACCAGAGTCGCCCGCTTGAACTTAACTCAGACTGGTCGTTTGGCTATGTCGGGAGTAGGACTGCGGCGGAATCCGACCCGCGGAGTCCTCCACAAATTTCGCTTGGTTTCAGCGTATGCACGTTTCTCTGAGACAAACAACTGGGATCGCTTGTGAATTGATTTTGCACTTCACATGGAGGAAGGAGGAGGGTCACACATACTGCCTTGTTTGCGGTTCCAAGCCTTGCAATGGAGATTCCGACTCCAAAGTCCAATGTTTGCTGAGGTGCATCTCACTTCCCGAATTCCTGGACAAGAAAAAAGCATTTTGAATCGAAAGACCATTTTGGGGCCAACAGATTCGTTTCGATTCAAAGTACCGTTCAAACAAGAGACAATCAAAATGGTCTTTCCGAAACAAAGGAGTACCCCAAAAGCATTCCTGCAAGAAACAAAGGATCGTTATACTTTTTCAGGCCACTCGATCGGAAGCGAGCACAGCCCGTGGCCCGAACGAAAGCGCAGGCCTTCATGCCGCAGTACCTCTGCTGGCTGCAGCAGGAGGTCTTCCGCTTGGGTGGAAGTATCCACGTGGGCGACGACTACAAGGCAGCTACCCCAAATCAACTGGCTGAGTCTATTTGTTTGGATTGTAATACCCATTGTTTTCCTGTTTGTTTGCCAAGTCAAGTTATTTGTTGTTCTTGGCTTGTTTTTGCCCTGTTTGCCTGTCGAGTTCTTTGGTGTGGTTGCTCATGTTGTTCTGTGTTTGTCAAGTTTGTCGTTGTGTTTGCCGGTTTCGCCTGTCTGGCGGTCGGGTTCTTTGTTTTGTTTTGACTGTGTTGCGAACCTGGTTCTGTCTGTCGAGTTCAGCCTGTTTACGCCTGTCTGCCTGACGAATTCTGTGGTTTGTTTGCCTGTTTTTTGCCGGGTTGTCTGTCGAGCTCTTTGTTTGTTTGCCCGTGTGTTTGCCTGTCTGTCCATTGGTCGAGTTGTTTGTTGTCTGTTTGATTGTTTGTTTGCTTGCTTGTTTGTTTGCTTGCTTGTTTGTTTGATTGTTTGTTTGTTTGGTGTGGTTGTGGTTGTGATTGTGGTTGTGGATGTGTAGGTGTAGGTTGGTTTGTGTTGCTGTTTGTGTTGTTTATTTCTTCCTTTGTGCTTCTGTTTGCAGTTGTCGTTTTGTTTGTGTTGCTTTGTATGGTTTGGTTTGCTTGATTGGTTGGTTGGCTTGCATTGTTGCTTATTGGTGTGTGTGTGGCTTTGGGTAAGAAACGAAATGCAGGGGCAAACCATTGGTTTTGGACCTGTCACAAAAGCCCAAGGAGCTGTTAAGTGGGTTGCTTCGAGGGTGGCGGTGGGCGAGTCAAATCGTAACGCAATGGGGACGGAATGACGAGATTGGTGTTTGGTGAATCTACGAGCGATATTCCAATTCCCAACTCCCCCCGAGGATGTGGGCTTGTCTTAAAATGGCGGGACCCAGACAATGGCTGGCTTTGCTTTTGGCTTCCTGTTAAAGCAATGCAAAACGGGTACCAAAAGAAGACACCCATCGTGGTGGTTCCGAGCCATCCCCCTAGGTTTTTGAGGTTTCGGGGTCTAGTGCTATTGTCCTCTTTGGGGTTTAGTGTTTAGGCTTTAGGGTGTTTTTGGGGTGTAGGGTTTTGGTTTTAACCTTCTAGGTGTTTTTAGACATGTACCCTCCCACCAACTAACATGGAAACGCAAAAAGGCCAACTAACCAAGAGGAAAGTCGTCTGTCTACAGTGGTCTGTGCGCAAACCCATGTTCGCTGGTGGGAGGATAGCACTGGCCTCTTTATTTTACCATGATCAAAGTCACCCGCTAAGTGGTTGGTTAAAGGGAAACCACCACATTTTTTGACTTTGATAACCCCCAGACACAGTCAAAATAGTGACCCCAGTAGCAGGGGATCCTTGCAGCCCCATGTCTTCCAGGTCAAGGACCTCTCTGCCGCATCCATCCGCCAGCTGGACGGGGCGATGCCGAAGCTGCTGCGGCCTTAGCAAATTGCCCCCCAAGGCATTCATGTTCGAGGGAAGTAAGGGAGCCCCCGTACAAACTAATTCTGCACAGTGTTTGGCGACCGACGAAAACACAGAAGCCACTGGTGTTTTCCACTTCTTCAAACAAGCATACCTGGAGTCTCCATGACCCTTAAAAAATTGGGTCATTACCCAAAATATTTGGGGTCATGTACCCATTTTTAAAGGGTCATCGAGACTCCAGGAAGACGTGTTTTCTGTTTTTAGGGCGGAGTAAATGTGAAACACGTTTTGCTTGGCGGGGGGGGATCAGATGTTGCTGTGTTTCCTGAAGACTATTTTATGTTTTAGGCAATACCGGAAAGGTTTGTGGAACCCGTTGTTCGAGGTTTGTTTGGAGAGCTGTGTTTTGCCATGTTTAGATGGATGAAGGCATCCATGCTGTCTCAGTTCGAGAATTGAATGGCATGCTCAAAACGAGACCCCCTTCTACTTGGGGATACGTGGCTGGTCTTTGGCCCAGTCGCGCCTTAGACCTTTTGGAAACAAATAAGCTTTTCATTTTTTGGAAACAAAATAGCTTTTCAATCAAGCCTGCACATGGTTACATCCTTTGCTCAGCAACCTAGCTAAGGATTGTTTTGTTCGGGATGTAGACCACTGGGCTTTTGTGGGAAGTGGCCCACAGTTTTGACGGCTTGGCACACTTGATTGCTCAATCTATTTCAAACCCCAAGTCTGTGTTGGAGAAACCAAAAGGCGGCTTTGTCAAAACAGGTGCTTAAGCCCTGCTTCATACTGTTGACACCCGTTCGCCGAGGCTTGTAAACTGCTTGGGCCTCGCCAGCCGCGTGGGGGGGCCCTGGCCATCCGGTTTCCAGCGCCTGCCCCCAACCACTTTTTGGAAGTTGGACATGGGAGAAAGCAGGCAAGCTTGGGGGTGCCTGGATGGTTCTTTAGTCTCTGGCGAGCCTGGGGACCAATTTTGGGAAGCTTCGGCGTCAAGATTTCGTTGGTGCTTCAGGTTGGTAGCGGGCCAGGTTTTATTTGTTCAAGCACGGACCTGGCCGATGAGCTAGCAGGCTGACTACACCGCGCATATCCCCTCCACTGACCATATATGTTTCTTGCGGGGGTCAAGGCTCCAATAGAGCCACTTGCTCAAAACTTGGGTAGATGACTCGGTTAGTAAGGGACACTCCCAACCATAAATAGCTGCGGATATCCGCCTTCCTAGTTCTCTACATGGTTCTGGGTCGACCATTTTAATACCCGGGTTTTGATGAAGGCTCCATTAGTCTTCCCTGTGTCAGATTGAGATGAACTGGTCCAACGCTCAGGCTGTTCCTAGGAAATTCACGCCCATTGCGTGCTTGCTGTCTTCCGTTGACCGAGAGCCCAGTGCAGCTGACTTGACTCTTCAGCAAGCGTACGAAAGGATCCCTGCCCAGAGGCTCCGATCGGCTTCGGCTTTCAATGGAAGACCCGACCCCAGGCTGTTCGAAGGCCCTGAATCAATCGAATTGGAGCCTCTGGGCTTCCCCAGAATTAGCTCCCCCTTCGATTTTTTGCTTTTTTGGGGTTCCCTTTGTTTTCCACTACCGGGCAACAAAGTGTTTTTTATGCTGGGGTCCCAATTCCAGGCAAGTGGCTGTGGGTCAAAAATAGGCTAACCCCAAAATGGGTTGGCCTGGTAAATGGATTCCTGGGACTAAAACCTGCGGTCCAATTCCTGGTGGTTTAATTGTGAGCCATACCCATTTAGGGCCTTGAAACAACCTGGTTTTGGGTACCTATTTTTTGGTACCTATTTTTGACCCAGAGCCAAATCCATCGGGATCCTCTGGGTAAAGGAAGCCAAACGGGGTCTCCACTCGCCGTCGCGCGCAGGAGGTGGTGCCCGATGAGGCGATGCTGCCCATCCGGGGAGGCCTTGTCTACGTGCACTGCCCCGACGCCTGGCCGACCATCGAAAACCGGATATTGAGAACCAAACAAAAAAGACAAGCCACCCAATGCGAGCTCATGGACTTTCAACTGAGTTTAGTGGTAAACCAACTAGGTCCCCCAGCTTGGTGCCCTTTTACCGTTTCTTTTTTGGGAGAAGGTTCCCTGCTAAAATAGACAAAACTGAGAAAAGTTGGTAGCCTTATTCTAACCTCTCTACTGGAGGACCTAGGAACCAGCAGCGACAGAAACGCAAATCCCCGGGGCCAAAATTCGGCACGTCAGGAAGTGGAGGACGTGTTCTTCGACGAGGATGACCCCGATGGAGAGGCCACCTATGTGACCTGGAAGCACCTCCATTTTGTGAAACGGCAGTTTGCAAGCACACAACCTTTTTTTTTGTGTTTGCGAAACGGCAGATCATAGTGCCCTTCCGCCCAAATGGCAACAAAAAATGTACCCTCCAGAAGTTGCAGGTATTGACGCTAGCCTTCCGAGTAGGCCCTAGGCCCTAGGCCCTAGGTGGCTCCACGCTTCACCAGCGACTGGTCTCAGAGTTGTGTCAGAAGTGGTCGGATCCTGCCGGACTTAGAGCGTTTCCGGAGACTGAAAACGCGCCTCCCAGAACCACAAAAGAACGAGTGATCTCTGCGAGTGGATTGGACGTTCGGGGTGCAACCCCTGGCTCGAAGGATTAGCTTGGAACAACATGGTGAAAGACCTGTTTTCTGAAGAAGCCCATTGAGACAACCAAAGACCCATGCCCACGTCGTCGATGTATTAAAAACGGATCTGGGTAAGGGGGTACTGTTGGAAAGGACAACATTTCGGAACTGATCCGAACGGGCAGACCAGAACCCCGGGCAAACAGGCTGGTTGTCGCAAACGGACGGTTGAAACTAAGAATGGGCAATCAACCTTAGTTCCCTGAATGTATATATCAGGCCCCCTCACGAGAGGTGACTACACCATGATCTAAGGCTGAACGTATGCGCCCATATATGAACTCCTTGTATGAATCCCTATTTTATGGGTGAATTAACGGCTTCTTTATGGACAATCAGCCCCCAAACAGTCTAACATGGCCAAGGGTTCGCTTACATGGACCTATGCAATCAGCCTTTTCGACATGAGGGCTTCAGATCCGTTTTTTTTTTGTTCGCGACTCAACCCCGACCCTAGTTCCTATGCTTCGGACGCCTTGGTGTCGAAGCGGGAGGGATGGGCAAGACAATGTTGCTTCATGTTCCCCTTGTGCAACCTTCAGGTAATGGCCACCCTGTATTCATCAACCCCAGTGTATTAGTAGGGGGGTGTCCCTGAGTTTAGTGAGAATCATCACTTTTTGAAGGGAATGTCTTCTAGTAATAAACAGGGGTTCATCCCCAGCAAAATCCCACATGTGATCGACAAAAATGCATGACAGCATGAACGAAACTCCACAGTTCCTTGAGACAAAAAGCAAAGCCCACACAGAGACATACAACACACACACACACCAAAGCACAACAAAAGGCAAACCACACGCAACAGAACACACAACAAAAGAACAAAAAAACACACACACACACACACACAAATTCGCGAAACATCAAACCCAGAGGGTCCAAGTACCTTCTGAGGATGGCTTTTGGGGGGGTTAAAAGGGGGTCTAAGTTCCTTAGAAGGTACTTGGACCCTCTGGGAAAGAAGAGAGCAACAAACTCTCCGCCGTGAGGTGATCCCTCAGCGGAATGGCCTAGTGGCCTGCGGGGGCCTGGTGCAGCGGAATCGCGAGGCCGCGGCGCTCAGCGAGGCAGAGGCGAGCCGTTGAAACCTCTGGGACCAGTGGGGGTCTCCAAAAAATGAGGGTAGAGGGTTTTGGGTGGGCCAAGAAAACATGTGTTCCAGAGTCCTGCTCTCAAAAAAAGGGGGCGCTCAACGGTCTTTTCCCTGGAAAATAGGGCACGCCTCACTAAAAGAGCTCACAAAATAGGGGCAACCAAACACGGCACCGTGTGCTCAGTTGCCCAAAGCCGACCTTTTAACCTTTTGGTTTTCCGATTTTGGTCCATTTTTAGTCATGGCCCCAAAAGGTTAACCTTTTATTTCTGGGTCCTTTGGGCAACTGAGTGTGTGTTTTTGCTTTTTTCTTCCGGGTTCTTTTAAAAACCAACCCAACCATGGCAACGGTTTTTCCTTGGGTGACCATCAATCCTTGGTGGTTTTTTGGTGCTTTTCGCTTGACAGGGGCAAGCCTCACCGGATTAGCTCACAACATGGGGGCAACCAAAATGGCAAGGGTTTTTCGTTTGGGTTCCCATGGTTCCCTTGAAAGCAACCAAAAAGGGGACCTAACGAAAGACACACCCCAAGATAAGGGTGCCTTAGGGTGGGGGAAGGGGTGGGAGGGGGTCCCGGCCCAAGGGCCCAGGGTCGTGTTCCGGCCATGGACAATGGAAATGCTTGTTTGTCTTATGTTGGGCTCTGATCAACATCTTGTTTCAGGGGACCCTAAACGGGTTCAATTGCATGGATTCCATCTTGCAAGGACGATCAGGTTTGTACATGCGCCAGATTTTGGGCTGTTGTGTTTGTTCATTCCGTTTCCCACATGTTCCACCGCATGTTTGGCGCGTTAGGGTGTGGAACGGGAGATGGACGTGATGATCAAATGGGGAATCGCCGGGATCCGAACTGGAACTCCAATGAAAGGAAGAAAGCCGTGCTTTTTGGCAGAAGAGTCCTCGTACCCACGGCCAGTCAGCGAGGCGTTTTCCATCCTCACAATCTCCCCAAGGGACAGCATGATCAGTGAGATTTAATGGGGCTGCTCCCAAGCAAAGCTTCATGTGAAGACGTTTTGGAGCTAAAAGACGTCGATCGCCGTCAGTTGCGCATTTTTTTGGAAGGCATGGCCCCTCTGAAAAGGAACCCCGGTTCGAGTCTGGGCACCCTTTTCTCAAAACGACAAACATGGTCGCCAAAAGACGTGTAGGAAGTGTAGGATGTGTAGGATGTGTCTTGGAGGTGCAATGGCCTGTGCACTCGGGTGGTGATTGTTGTTGCTTTGCTGCGGATGAACCTTGCAGCTAGGTGTTCGCACGCTTGGATCCATGCCAATCACTTGTTTTGTTTTCCGATGCTTGACCCTCTATCACTTGTTTCTTTTCCCATTGATTTTATCGTGTATTTCTTCCTTTCGAAAGGCACCTTGAACGAAGCTTCCATGGATTTCCCCACGCCGAGGCAGCAGAAAACCATTTTTCCCCCACTTCGATCTCGATGCCCCGAGGCCGCTGGCATCTTGGGGCGCTGCGAACGTCTCCTGCCGGCCTTGCGCGGCCAAAAGGTGCTGGGAACCTGGACAGGGCTGCGCCCCGCGCGCCGCGCGGAGGCGGGCGGTTGGAAAAGCGGCGCGGCGGGTGGCGTCGTTTTCCCCGTGACCCAGCCGGTGGTTCTTTACAGGGCTGTGGTTGTCAAAGCCGTTGTGGGATCCCATTTTGGGGTAGGTGAATTCAGCACCCATTTTAGAACCTATTTTAGTTTTCATTGGGATGTTCACTGGGGGTACGGGCTTTTGACCCATGGCAATATCATCCACCTCAACATTTCCCCCCAAATGGATATAAGTGGTGGTTTTTATTTGGAGAAGGTACTGTGTTTTCAGTTGCCAAATTGGCTCATCTTTTGAGCCACGGCCAAAGCTACCGCTGCTGGTTGTTTGAAACGTTTACAAAGGAAACCTGAGTCATGATCAACACCTTATTGAGACGGTTTTCCCTAAATGCAAAGAATCGCAGGGGTTGCACCTTTCCTTTCGGTACTAACCTTCAAGGGCCCATGCTGTTGTTGGTTCGAGGAGTTGTCAAAGTCAGAAAACTGGGGTGAATCCATTTGGCTTCAGAGGTGATGTTGATGAGAATGCGAAAAAATGCTTCCCATGGAAGTGGAAGGCTCCAAGCACCAGCTAGAGAGAGAAGTCGGCGTTGAACTGAAAGGACACCAACTCAACTTTTAGTGGTCCACAAGATTCAGAAAGCAACTTCAAGCAGTGGCAGGTTTCCAGGAGAGATGTTTTTTCACAGTGCTTATTCTCCTCAACAACCCAACAAAGACTAAAAAAGAGGTGTTTTTTCTTTCCAGCATGGCTCGGGAGTTCATGTGTGTCTCTTTCTTGAGGAGACACCCCAAAATGGTTTCGGTTTTCCTTCTGAGTTCTCAATCGAAAACCACCAGAAAGTGGGTGCCATCCACAAACAGACGACCCGCCCAATGCGAGTTCATGGACTTTCAACTGTTTGGAAAGGACTACTTTGAAAGCTTGACCGCTATTGGGTTGGATATTTGGACTGTGTTTTTGCCGTGTCCCACTAACCGCCCAAAAAGTCAAACTTTTTGCAGGGGGGTCAACAGCAACCAAGTTTAGTGATAAACAAGTAGCTAATTGAGCGGCCAATCTCAGGAAGTGAGACCTTCTAACATTTTTCCCCAAAAGCTGAGGCGGGCGGCATTCGTTTGGAGCTGGAGCTGGCAGATTTGCCGGCGCCTTCGGCGGCAATTTTTGGGTGAGCCGAAGGTGGCGGTTGCAGCCAGGTAGCCGAAACGTGATGGCTATCCGGTTGGATCAGCTTTGGATTTCAGTGTTTTTTTTTGTTTTTTGACATTTGCATAAGATCAATGGTTAATACACAAACTGTTAATGCACATAGATCATAGTTGTAAGTAGGGATAACTAAACTTAGCAAGCAAACCACCAGTTGTCTTCAAGTTACCGCAAATGGAATCTGTTAAGGGAATCTATTAATGAAGCAGATGGATGCTAAAGACGACTACACAATAAGTTGGCCTAAAGTTAGCGGAAGTTACCCTAAAGACGCCTAAACCACAACTGTAATTTACTGAGCATGTTGTTGTCCTCTGTCGGTTTTAAAGGGAATCTATTAAGCAGATGGATGTTAGAGACGACCAAACAATCAGTTGGCCTAAAGTTGGCCTAAAGTTCCTAGTCTGGGCAGATCCCTTGTTCCCCTCTAAATGGATATCACATTTGAGAGCTCCGCTTCTTTTTCTAGGGGTACTGAACTGGATTTATGTTGGAACAGGGTTGCTCGAGTTGTTTTTCATGACCAAACCTTCATATAGAAACTGAGGGCCTTTGTTAGTTGCCTCTTAACAACACAACTTTTCAACTTTTTGGGTAACATGGGCTATATGTCTGTAAAAGATTAACTTCCCCAGGGCTTGGAGTTTTAAGGGGTTAGTTTCCTCTACCAGATCTGCGGGAAAGCATCTAGGCTTCGTCAGAGAAAAATGAACCCCCAAAGTGGCACCTTTTTTCTTGCTGCGAAGGGCGCCGACTCACTCGAAAAGCGGGCTGTGACGTTTTTGTTTTTTGGGGGGATACTCGGTTTACTCTGTTTTCCAGTGCCCTTTCACCCTTTTTGGGGGGGAGATTCGGTTCCCCCACTGAAATACACAAAACCGAAAAAAAGTATTGGTACCCTTCTTCTGACCTCTCTACCGGAGGAGCTAGTATACCAAACTGGTCTCCCACAAGGCCCCGCAACCCTTGCGGACCTCTGGGAACAGGATCGCCGCGATTGCGCCTAGCCAGAGCAAGTGAGAAAGCCATGGCCAGGCCGCAAAAAGCCGAGGAGCGAATGGGCAAATTGGAGGTTGCGGAAGCCGGCTCGGAAGGAGTGTGTGCAGGATAGCACCATTGAGCTTGGATAGTTTGAGCCACAGCGATAGGAGACCTGCTCTCAAAGAAGCAGGCATTAATGGGAAGGCCTGCGTGCGGAATTACAAGTCACGTCCTGGCTTGATTTGTCTTGCAGTTGCGTGCCCCCAACACTTAGTTCAACGTGAAACTATGGGGTGGTAATGCAAAGAAGGGGGACCACACAGACAGAGTGGTTCTCGTAAGTCTCTTGCTTCGTAGAAGCCTTTTGCTGCTTGATGTTTTGTTTTCGCTCCGCGAGGCTTTCAAACGGCCCTTGAGGGTAAGTCGACCGACCGTTTGGGTGATGAGCAACTCGACTTTTTGGCACGATGATGATTGTGTCATGTATTACGAAATCACCTCGTTCACCTTCGTACTGCAGGCTCGTATCGACGTCCAACAACGCTTTGTTGGGAGGTTTGTATCCTTTCCGAAAAACACTTCTGTTGAGTCTCTCTAAGGGAACAGAGAACAGTTTGACCTTGAGGAGGTTTGCGCGTTTTCCCTTGTTTGGCTTTTGGTTGGGAAGCAATGCCCAGGCTTTTGTGTGCCGCTTTTGAGAGAGTCATAGTCATTGTCAGAACGCAAGTTCTTAGTGGGAGGGCGGTCATAATCCCCCCCTTTTGGGCTTCTGGAAAACAAGCGGAAGCCAAAGAGGGATGGGGCGGGTTTGGCTCGAAATCCGTGTGATCTTCTCGGCAAGGTGATTCACAACTACGGGCACGGGGGGTCCGGCCTCATCTGCAGCTGGGGTTGTGCTCTGGAGGTCGCAGATTTGGCGCGGAACTTCGCGCGAGAAAACCAGCCCCTGGGCCTTGTTGGACGTCTCGGGCCAGGTTCCAGGATGCCCCGAGTCAGACTCATCACAGACTCATCCAACCTTCCGTTTGGTTAAGCATATGCCCGCACTGAGATGTTCACCAGGTCGTAACGGTTGTAAGGGATTTGTCCCTCGTTTGCCCCCACTAAAACAAACCATGGTTTCTATGGGGCTTCCATTTGGTTATCTTCTTCGTGGGCTTCAAGCATAGCCTTTTTGGCCCATGAACGGTGAGTGTCCCTTGCTTCGGTTTGTCTTCCAATTCGGCTAAGACGATTTGTTATTTTCCCCCTGCTGTTTTTAAAGGGAATCTATGACTACTGGAGATATTTTATTTTGTTTCCCCAACAGCTGAAAGTTTTGGGGTCTCAGCCCAGATAGGCTCAGGGGTAGTCCGGGGCGGCCTTAAGGTAAGGTTCCACGAGGGTTCCACGAGGGTTCCGCATGCTCTTGGGGATATCACTTGAGCTCATTCTTTTTTTCCCCTGTTGGTTTTAAAGAAGATCTATCACTACTGGAAATATGTTTTTTGTTATTAGCTGTTGCCTTATTTATTTCTAGGGGCCTTAAGCAAATGGAGGCAACTGAATTGATGCATTCCAAGACGGTGTCCACCCCACTAGCCCAGCGGAAACCGGGTTTTTGCTTGTAGCGGTTGCACGCCCCATGGTTGCCTGGAGTTGTTTGGGCGGCTTTGGATCAAAGCCATTTTGGATCTATCACAGGCCGTCACAGGGTGTCAACAGCGAGCCACCAACCCGGCAACGTTTTCGGGAGAACAAGAACACTGCTCCACGTGCGAGGAAAGGCAACAGCTCCTGGATGCTGGGAACATGCGAAACATATACTGTATCCTCGTTGAGACGCATTGAACTCGTCCCAACTCGTTCGCGATGAGTTTCTTCGATCCGCGAGGGAATCGCCAAGCCAAGGATCCCCCTCCCCGGCGCGCGCCTGTGATTGGAAAACCAAAAGACCGTCGCTGCGCGCCAACTTTGGGGCACACGCCTTCATGGCGCTCGGGTTTTTTCCCCCAAGATACCCAGCCCCTCGAAAATGAACTGAGGGAAGGGGGGGGTGTCCATGAGCTTCATCTTTGGTGTGAAGCTTTTTCCCCCGAAACTTGGGAAGGCGCCGCATCCAGGGGCGTTTTGACTTCCGCAGCTCACTGGCAAAGCAGCTCTCGGCAATCCTGGCATAAGGTTTGGGCATTGCACCCTAAGCACAACCACCAGCAGGCCCCCAAGAACTGCTTTTGGCACAGTTCTTGGACATGGGACAAACAGTTGTTGGGGGGTGGCACATCCACTCTTTGTGCTGGAATCGCAGAGGCACGTTGCTCAGGCGCTTTTGCCTCAGCCATGCAACGCTCGGACACCATGTCGCTGGTGCCACAAAGATCTTCCTTAGCAACGCCGTGGATGATGACAAGAGCTTCTTCAACCCCGCCTGGCTTCACGCGATGCAGATGACGAGAGGCGAGCTGAGAATGAGCTCCGGCTTGACATGCCAGATGTCGGCAGGGCTGGTCAAAATGCACAGCCTGCGTCCCTGGAGCGTTCCCAGTCGATAGCTGATGTGAGAGCTCTCAAGGAGTTCCGCCGAAGTGGGCAGTGGCAACAGGCGCTGGGCAGAGAACCGCGAGACAGGGTCTCTCAGACCTTGTTGCTTGCTTCCAGCCATCCCCTTAGCTTTTTAGCCTTTTTGGGTTTAGCTAGAGTCTCCATGACCCTTACAAAATGGGGTCATTGCCCAAAGTTAAGGGGTCAGGTGCCCATGTTTTAAGGGTCAGAAGGAGACTCCAGGCAGCGGCAGAGTCCATGAACCCGCTAAAAAAGTTATTCACTTTGAGCGGATCAGATTAAACGGGCCGCCCAGGTTGATCAACACCTGCGTCCAGTCGGGTCACTGGAGATCTGCCGCCGCGGCGCTCTCGAAGTTCATGGCTTGGCGCATGGAAGCTGATGTGGTCATGCGCCTCACTCGGCCATCGGATCCTTAGGCTTTGGGAGTTTGGGATGTGGCGCTTTTTTTCGTGGAGGGTACTCCTTGTGGAAATTATGTTCAGGGAAGCCAAGGACTGGTGGCGCTGGAGGGTACTCTTTTTGGGGATCATGTTCAGGGAAACCAAGCAAAACGCCACACCTTTTTTAAGGTCCCCCAAATCTTGAGACGGGTCCACATATCCCATTGGGATCAAGGTACAACTCCCTACGCCCTCTGACCTGGCAGCAAGCCTTGGAGGCCTTTGCAGCGCTGCAACTCCAAAGTCTGCAGCCCACGCTGGTCACCTACGAGACTGCCCTCACTGCTTGCCGCACGCAGTGGCCGTGTTGTCTGTGCCTCCTCGCAGAAACCCGGCTGTGCAGTGGCAACCGTTCTTGTTTGTTTCGTGGTTGCTTTGGTCTCCTCTGGTTTGCTGTGTTTTGTTTGTTAGTTGAAGTTGTTTCATTGATTTATTTGCTATATGTTCTTTGGTTTTTTGGTTGGTCTTTTGGTTGGTTTTTTGTAGGTTGGTGGGTTGGTGGGTTGGTGGCTTGCTTTTTTTCTGTTTTTTTTTGGGGCTGTAGAAATTCACCCCGGAAACTCCGCAGGAGCGCTCGTCTCGCGAGATCAGTGCCAAGTCCTTCACCAAGGTCTTGGCCGCATGCGCCGACGCATTTGCCTGGCAGCAGGCCGGTGTCGCAGGTCGCATGGCTCCGTTTGTGGCTCCGATTGTGGCTCCGTTTGCTTAATATTTGTTTTTGTTCCCTTGTTGGATTTAAAATGAATTCATCACTACTGGAAATATATTTTTTTCCTGGGGCCTTAACCAAATGGAAGTTGTGGCTCCGTTTGTGGCTCCGACGGTTCATACTGTGGACGGACATCCTGGATCACCGTTAAGAAACCCTGGTTTCTGATGTTTCCCCCTAAAAATGCCTATGACATGATGTCCCATAGTTTCTTAGGTGGTGCGAAATGGATTTCGTCCACCCACAGTACGATCCCCGTTTGGAAGCCAAGCAATGTTGATTCCCCACATGTTCATCAACCAAAACTAGTTTTATCAAAATCGGGGGGGGGGGAATTCCCCTCCAAAAGTGGTCTGATTCCCCTGCGTCGTGCCAGTGTTGTGTTTGAGGGTGTTAATGTTAATCCAATAAATTAATCAACTAGCCAGTTTTATGAAAATAGGGGGGTGCTTCTCCGATTCTGGGTGAAATGTGGTTGTCAGACCACTTTTGGAGGGGCCCCCACCCCCAGAGCAAAACCCTTCAAAAGGAAAATGGTCTGGGACACGGCAGTCGGAAATCCATTTCGCGACCAGGGCAATGCTTGCTGGGGGGCCTACCAGGTTTTGGTTGTGGGTTTTTTTAACCATCGAATGGTCCCAAAGCCGGTACCAGGTAGGGTTCAATGCCCCAGGAAATGTAAACCAGGCTCTCCAGACACCCTGAAACCCTCTGTAGCATCAAGCCCCCGAACCTGAAGGCTCATTGAAATGGCGTTGGCCATGTGGTTGGGGGGGTTAGGGTGGAAAAAGCCACAGAACAGGGGGGAATTCCCGCGAAACAAGTTGGAATCCCCTCTTGATATGGGGCTACTGTGGGGGGTTAGTTTTGGGAGGCCTCTTTTGTCTGTATCACAGAAGTTTTTCATTTCCCACAGCCCTGCTCTAGAAACATGCTGGACCCAAATGTCAACGGGTTTCAACCGCGGCAGTGAAGAACCCCAAACAATTTTGGAGGAGCAGCGCGCGGTGAAGGGCCAGGATCTCCACCCTTTCGGGGTTAAATGGGGTCCTTCCGAAAAAGGAACCGCCAAGCACCTGACAGTTGCTTGGGTGTGCCTCTTGTCCACATTTCACGCCTAACCTCATGCTTGTGATGCAATCCAGCTGGACCAACCTCATCCAACAGCATTGCGGCAAATAACAGGTCTGGGATTCGGGACGCGTTTGTTCCCCAAATGTTCAGCTTGCTGGTTTTCAGCCGGGAATGAGGGAATGACCCCTATTAACAATCCCCTTATGGTTTCCTGTATTCGGGAATCCCAAAAACCGGTTCCTTCCCCAAACCCAGACTGGGTCATTCCTCCTATCGCCCCAGCGAGATCCAAGTGAATCACTGGGACTTGGGACGTTCCCAATGTTTAGGTGACTAACCACAGAATGACAAAGATTCGTGGTGGTTTCCCCCCCGCCATATTCAGCTGCCACGCTTAGTTTGTGGTTTGGATTGCTGGTTTGGTAAATGGGAAACGATTCGGCTACCACAAATTGGAGGGAAGCTCCCCCCTAAACGCGCCGGTGCATTTTTCGGGGCTCTCACGGCTGAGGAGAGCTAGCAACGGATATTACATACAAGTAGGATCATGTGGCCATGGTTCAACACCAATGATACCATTTTGGGGTAGGTGCACCACCCATTTTAGAACCTATGTGAGTGGGGGTACAGGGCTTTGACCCATGGCCATGTAGAACCATGAAACCACCCCTGAAGGACCTGTCCAAATCCAAATCCAACCAATCCAAGCCACGAATTCGGCTCGCTCCAACCCACTAATGAGTTAAATGAGAAGGGCCTGTCGACGGAACTCCCCTGAACCAAACCAGGGCAACCTGATAGACACACATATACACATATATATATATATATGTATATATATATATAGATGTACAAATATAAACATGCATGACACCAACCTTCAACATGGCTGTTGTTGCGACCACATTTTACATTTCTGCTTATTGTGGTTGAGTGGTGGAAATCCAAATCCACTGAACTGCCAAAGTTCATTTTGTGTGGAAGGGAAGGTCAACCATGCAACTATAGATTACCCTCTCCCCAACAATCATGGAAGCTGCAACGGGTTTGGAAGACTACTTTCCTTTTGGGGCACCCCTCTGCCCACTTCCATGGAAGGAGGGTATCAAATCAAACCAAAAAAGATATACATACAAGTATATTCATGTGTATTCATGTATAATCATGTAGAACGGTATAACCATAAAACCACCCCTCATAACCACCCCATAAACCCTCTACAACCATAATCATGTACAACTGTTCCCATGTATATCTAACTGTATAACCATACATCTACCACACCAAAACCCCCCGGGAAGCTGCTGTGCGCCCCCTGCCAGGCGCTGCAGCTGCTGGCGCGGCTGCCGGGCAGCGCCCTGCGGGCGGACGGCCGGCTGCGGAGCACCGCGCTCTTCGCGTGCCAAAAGGCCGGGGCCTGGGCAGCGGCGGGGGCGGTGGTTGAGGAGATGCGCCAAGCGCAGGCGCCGGGGGGATGGGGGAAGGGGGGGGGGGAAGGGGACTAGGCAACCTCAAGAAGTACTCGAGTTGGATTTGAGCAGAAAACAAGGCGATCCGAATGCCAACAACTGTCTGGATCAGTTGTTTGTTTTTGTTTTTTTAATCAAAGGGTCCAGGGCTGTATTATTTTGATTAAACAAGGAGCAACCTGACTCCTAACGTCGGCCTCGAACGCGTCGCACCCCTCGGAGGCGCCCTGCGACGCGATCGCGGCCAACAGCGCGCTGGACGCCTTCCACCGCAGCGCGCAGTGGGTCCGCGCCTCGCTGGTTCTGCGAAACCTCTCCGCGCCGGCGGCTTGGATTCCTGCTTCCATTCACTTAAGTTGTTAAATCGAGGAAAAAACAAACGCAAAAGAATAAAAGCAGCAACATAACTTAAGTTGTTTTCCCCCTGTTGGTTTTAAACTCCTGGAAGTACTTGTATTGTTCCCAGGGGAATTGAGCAAATGAAAGCCGATCAGGGTCTGATTGGGCTTGGTATGCCCGGGGGGGTCCCCGTACCACATCCCGAGTTGGGTGTCAAAAGGACATAATTTTGAGGCCACAAATTCCATGTAGGGGTGTCAAAATAGGGATTTGGACCCCAAATGTTGTTGTCCTTTTGGTTGTTAGATCCGCCAAAGTGTTCAACGCTACCTGGTCGTGGTGCCCCACAGATTACGGATTAGGATTGGGGATCCCAACCCAGTTTGGTTAAAGATAGATGGGTTCCACTGGACAATTAGTTTTCGACTCGTCTATTTGTGAAGGCCTTGTGTTTGTTTCCAAAGGGACGGGCGAGACACGCCCGTGTGTCAAATTCCCACAAAGGAAGACGCACGGACGTCAATGCTGTTGTACATTTCGGCACTCTTATTGAGCGGTTGGCACCCAGAAGAATCAAACCTGGCTTGACGAAGGTTAGTGTACGCTTCATTCGTAGCCGCAGGGAATTTTGGTGTGCATCCGCCATGTGTTGCCGTGGCATGGGGACGGAGTTTCCTATACCCGGTTTGTAGAACTCACGTGGTATTGGATTCAGTGGCCGAAGGGGAGTCAGATGTGTGTTGTCTTCAGCCAACATACCAACCCACCGAAGTGAGGATGTGCTGTCCTTCGGTTCCGTGATCCATGCGTGCGTCACCGCATGGGAAACAGCTATATCTCTGCTTTCGGAGATGCTTTGGCAGACTTCAGTGGCCTTTTCGGTTTTTCCTTTCCAGAATTTACCTCCTTTTCTCAATGGTTTTGCTTTCACCTTCCTGCCAGGCTGCCAGGTGTATTTGTTCGGGTTGTCCTTTTCACCAGTGACTTCGGGTGTTCCCTTCCTTTCCCTTCCACTCGCCCCTCTCGCCTGGGGCTCGCGCCCCGTCAGGATGCGCCGGGCCCGCGCTGGCCCGGAGCTGGTGACCTACAACTTGGCGCTGAAGGGCCAGCTGCGCTGGCAGCTGGCCGCCCAGCTGACGCGACTTCCAGGCGCTGGATGAAAATAGAATGGAACCGGTGCAAAGGAAGGGTTGGAAGAACCAAGAAGTGGCGTAGAATTCCAATGAGTCAATTGGCTTAGGACATCCCAAGAAAAACGCTGGTGCTTAGAAGGGAATGGGAGAAATGGCTTAGGGCATCCGAACAAAAACCCAACACTTGCGGGTGGGTAGGCGATGAACTTGGAGTTTGATTTGGCGGGGAATGAGAAAAATGGCTCAGGACATCCCAACAAAACCCATTTGTTGTTGGTAGTTTCCTTTACAGGAATGAAGGTCACGACCCCTATAAGCCGTGTGGTTGCCTGTACACGGGAAGCCCCAAAACGGTTCATTCGATTTCTCATTCCCTATTTATCGTGTTCAGCAAGGTTGGTCGGTCGCAAGTCACGCGGTGAATGAGCGAATGAGCGCCACGCGGCATACGCGGCTCGAGGGAAGGTGAAACGGCAGGCAAGCGAAATACCCAGACACCTTAAGCAGATGTGTTCGAAAGAGCAAGTGCGTCATCGCATGGAGTTGGTCATGGGACAGGTGGTCACGGGAATTCAAGAGCTTTTGGTGGACGTCATTTGGGGGGTTCCCTACAATCCATAGCAAATGGCTGTGTGTGTGTGCGCCAAAAGAGGGCGACCACCTGCGTGGTTTTCCTTTTAAACGACTTAAACAGGGTACCCTGCCTCCCACTAACGTGGCGACTGCCTTCAGGACGAATTTGATCACGGCACCGCGCTGTGATAGTTGGAGGGAGGGTAGACTCAAAAGACACACACACACAATGCGGTTCTGATCATGCCCAAAGAGTCACAATCAAAGCATGACTTTGCACAGCCTAGGCAAGCGCTTCACAAGCTTGCTGAAACGTGTCCAAACACAACATCGAAGTTGCCAGGGTTTTGTTCCTGTCTGGTCTGATTCATGATGTTCAGAAGAATATCCTTCAGACGAGAACTGTGGATTTGTGTATGGTTAAATGGGGGGGAGAATGGGCAACCACAAGGTGCAGCGGGCGGTGTTCCACTACGGCGCAGGGATTCCCCACCCCATTTTGCTGGGTGCTAACTAGGTTAATTTTCCCAAAGGGGATGGATACCTGTTTACTGGCATCAGCATCTCCATCATCCAGCAAACTCATCCATGTCATTCGCAAGTCAAATCAATTCCAGGATTCCCAGCAGGAGACCAGATGATGTTTTCCACCGTGTTTCCTCTTTGTGGAGCTTCCAATTCAGCGGCTCGGTTCGTTTCCAGGGTGCCGCGCAGATGTGGTGACTGTGACCTCCATGATGACAGCGTGCGAAGGAGCGTCGGCGTGGAGAGAGGCGCTCAGTGTGCTCGGCAGAGGTGAGCAAGAGGCAGTTGACGCTCACCGGCGCTTTGGACATCCCCAAAGGGTCCCTTACACAGGGAGTTGGGGGAGGGAGTGCGGCAAGGTTAAAAAAGAGTAACACAAGCTTAAAAAAAGAAGCATCCAAGGTTAAAACGAAGTGTCCAGGCTAAAACAAGCTTTGCAAGGTTAAAACAAAAAAAAACAAAACATCCTTTTGGGGGAGGGGAGATTTGCTGGAGACGCTGCGAGAGGTGCAGGGCATGAGAAATGGAATGATGCCGAGAAAATCCATCCACATGGTGGTTTCCTTTAAGGGAATTTGCAGATTCATTCCCAACACCCGGAAGGTCATTCCCTAATTCCCTACTGAGCACCAGCAAGTTTTAGACTTTTTGGGTGTCGCTCAAAAATAGTGATCGGGCCAAACTGGAACCCTGGTAAATGCCAACAAGGACTAAAACCTGCGATCTTCTGTTGGTTTCATTTTGCTTTTAGAATCTTGAAGTTGCATCTTTTTGTAGCTTCACTTTGTTTAGAGGGCTTGGGGGACATGTCCCACAGGTTTCACTTTTCGCAAAACCAAAACAAAAAACAGACCATTACGGAGGGTAACATGTGCACCACTTTGTTTAGAGGGGTTGATGGGTTGACCTCTCCCCCAGGCTTCACTTTTTTCCACTAAGGAAGGAAACATTTGCAGCTACAGTGCCGCAATGCTTGCCTATGATTCCATCTCCAAGTGGAGAGATGCGCTGGACATATTGGCAACCCCGGACGTGGTGGCCCGCAGCACCTGCATCGGTGCTTGCGAAAAGGCACCGGCTGGAGTGTGGCTGTGGGTCAAAAATAGGCTAACCCCAAAATGGGTTGCCCCGCTAAGTGGAAACATGGACCAAAATGTGCGGTCCAATTCCTGGTGGTTTAATTTGACCCACCCATGTGTTTCTTGTCAATAGAGAGTTATGACCAACGAACACCAGGGTCCCGAAAAATATGGTTGAAAGTGGGCCAACTGATCGTTCACCAAAGAGTCCAAGCCTTAAACCCCCCCCCTTTTTGGGGACTCGGACTCGTCGGTTTGGGACTCGGACTCGACGCTATGGGCGGCTTCGTTTGGACCAAAATCGCAGGCCAGCGAGTGGCTGATGGCCGTGCAGCTTCTGAAGGATGTTGCGCGGGATGCGGTGGCAGTGAGCGGGGCGATCAGTGCTTCTGCCAAGGCGCCAGTCCCAAAATTCCGATGCCCGAAACGTGGGGGGCCGCGGCCTGTGTTTTTTTCTTGGAATGTGGCGAAAAGGAAGATCACTGTGAAAGAACCGGAGCCCTATTTTTGGATACATGTGGAGTTAGAAAGCTTCTTTTACCAGATTTAAAGGATTCCTTGCAAAGTAGGTGGGTTTTAAGATGATCCTGGTTTGTTTTGTTGTCGTTTGCTTCCTGGGGATGGGCCGGGCTGGGGGCTTGTATTTCGAATGGTTACCAGGGGGACCAAAAGGGAAACAACCATTTTTGGTAATTTTGGTTTTCCATGTTGGTCATTTTTAGTCTGGGTCCCAAAAAGTGACCCTTTAACTTTCAGGTCCTTTGGAGCTTTAGGGAGGTGAGGGCCGTTGTGTGATCAAACATGGAGGGTGTCTTTTCTGGCTGGTTTGTTTGAAGATAGATTCCACTGATAAATCAGCTTTTTGCATTTACCATCTAAGTGTGTGTCAAACGGTCACCTCGTCCTCATGAGTTTCCCTTTTCGGAAGGTGAAACGTTGCATTTGAAAGGGTCTTCTTAACCAAGTAATCATCGGGTGTCTCCGGAGACATGGGGAGAACCTGTTGGATGGTTATGAGGTTGGATGGTTATGGGTTTTAAGAAGGGAACAAGCTATTCTTAGGGCTCATTTGGGAGCTTCTCATGGATTTCGGACCCCCTTTTGGGTTTTTCAAGGGAAACCGAACTCACACCAATCCATTGGGGACCGATGAGACTGCCATCCTTGAGGCGAGCAGGTGGCAAATGGCGCTTATGCTACTCGGAGAGCTGAAGCCGAAGGGAGCATTGGGTGTGGCGGCGTACAGCGCAGCCATGGCTGGCTGTCAGAAACCCGCTGAAAGCAGAGGAATTGGTTTTTCTTGTCTTTGGCGTGGGAGTCCTTGTATGATGCCCTGGTCTTGTTTTGTCTATGTCTTTCTTGTTTTTTTAGGGGGGGCGGAAGGGAAGGCACGTGTGCAGTGGCACATTTGTTGGGCGGTGCGTGTATGATGTGTTGGACGCAAAGCTCAACTTCAGATTGACTCTTGGAGCGATGTTTAAAGAACTCATAGGACCGCTGCAGGCTTCCCTAGATCAATCAAAAGCAGCGTGTTCTTGTCCCGCTGGAGGTCCGGATTCTTTTTGCGCAGGGAGAAATGGCTTTTTGGCACAGAAAAAAAAGGAAGGCGGAAGGTCCCTTTTCTGAGGAAAGTGTCGCAGTGGCAATGTGTTTTGGCGCTCCTGGCGGAGATGTGGCTGCAGCGCTTGCAGCCGGACGCCGTGGCCTATGCCGCGCTCAGCGAGTGCAGCCTGGGGTCGCGCGTGTTCGATGGCATGGCGGCGTGTGTTGAGCTCCGAGCTGTAAAATGTGGGGGGGAGGGGGCGGGGGGTTGATGTGGCCCCGTGTGGGACCCTGGCGTGTGCTGCCCTTTTTTTATTCGGAATACCCAAAAAGGGGAGGGGGAGCCGAATTTTGACACCTTTAAGGCGGGACAATTGGGCGGTTTCCTTCCGTTTTTGAGGCTTTGGAGTAATCCTGTTGAGCGAAAGATCGTTGCTCAATGCATGTTTTCTACATGGACCTGGTGCACCGTTTGATTGATACTTGGGCTCTTGATGCGGCTCCGAACACAAAGTGCATCCAACTCTACGTGGAGTTCTCAAACAAATCGCTGCGAATGGTGGAGCCCCAAAATGTGTAGTGTCCTTCCAAAAGTGTAGTCTAGCAAAAGACAGGCCTTTGTGGTTGTTTTTTTGTGGAAAAGCCACCCAAGACTGAAGACCGGTTCCCAATTTTGAGGCCAAAGGTGTTTCTTGGGCTTGATTTTTGTGGCCAAAGCGCCCAAGACTGCGTGCTTCCAAAAGAGTAGCCCAGGCCAAACGTGTTTTTTGGTGGCAAAGCCGCCCAAGACGGGTTCCCAATTGTGACACATCCAAATGGTTTGGAGCTCATGACTCGCTGGCATTTTGGGCCCTTTGGCTCCAGCTGCGTATTGCCATGGCTCTGGAAGCGCCAAGTTGTGACGGCCATGGCAGGGACGGATGGAAGTCGGCGCCTGCGGAGCGGTTT